TAATATTTAATTATAATCTAAAATTTTAACTGAAATTCATTTTTAAAAGCATTTTTATTAGTAAATTCTAAGAGAATTTAATTATTTAAATACAAAAATAAATAATTTATTAAATTCATGTTTCTTGAAATTAAACTCTCATAAAAAATGTTATCAACAAATTTTTTAAATCATTAAATTCTTTGGACGAATTTTAATAAAATTTTTAAGAATAATTACATTTTTCGAGGAATTCCATTAAAATTGTATTAAAAATATTTGAAATTCTGCAAAGAGTTTTATTATTTATGAAAATAATTGAATGTTTGCGTAGAATTTTATTCAAATTTTTTTTTTAATAATGGAATTCTTTTGGAAAAATTTATTGAAATAGTAGATATTGAAAATCATTAAATTTTAGAAAACTTTTAAAAATAATTAAAATTTTGACAAGAATTTGATTAAAATTTTGTATAATAATTGAATATCAGAGAAGAATTTTATTATTTATAAAGAGAATTGAAATTTTGACGAGAATTTAAAAAAAATTTTGAACACAATTGAATTTAGTAACTATGTTACTGAGTTAGTTAGTAAGTTAGTAACTTACTATTCTGCCTGGAGAAGCTAAATTCGTTGAATTTTTCCAAATTGTTGACTTTGGTGTTTTATTTAAAGTAAAATTTCATTCATAGTTGAAAATAACACCAAAATAGATTATTTCAATCCTTTCTGGTGTTAATTGAATCCTAGAGGGATTAAACTGTTGCAGATTATTTTAATCCATTCTGGTGTTATTTTAATACTTCACGTTTTACTGTGATGTCTTCATTAAATCCAATATATTGGAAAAAAACTAACTTTTCTTTTACACAATTAGGCAAAGATAAAACACACAAACATAACTCATTAGTTATAACAAACAATAGCCTTATAATAAATTTTCTCGAAAAAAATAATCATTAAATAATTATTAATTCAAATGACAGGATTAAATTAAAAGTAAGAGAATTTCTAAAAGGATTGAATATTTGGAGAGTGATGAAGAGCTTAAAATATTTACAGACATGTAAGCCCCGTGTTTCGGAAATGATCTAATACAAATTCAGGAGAATCATTAGAGAGGGTGGTCAGAATGGGGGGTGGGGCGGTTAAAGGAATCCATAGATTGCACAAGCAACAATCACCCGTAAATTATGGCCTCAATATCCATTGTGTACTCTCAAGCAAGTCTAACCCCAAAGTCTGAGGCTGAGGCCAAGACTACTCACCCCCTGGCTACTTGATCGTACCTCTCTCGCTTGTGCGGAGTTTAAGCGAACCAAGAGATATGTATATTAATGGGGCCAATCTTACATAGTTTTGTTTACCTTGCCATTCTCCCAGTGCGTGTACAATTACTATCCTTGGTCCCTATGGTGGCGAGGGCGGCTGTGAACCCTTCCAACCCCTTAGCCAACTACCTCCACTCCTACGTTTATATATATACTGCAGTCGTGTGTATTCCCTTCCTAGTTCGCTAATTTTTTTTCTCTCTCCAAGCGCAATTTCGTATAACAAAGCGATAATAGCAATAATTGTTTATTTTTCATTTCTGATTCTGATTTTGATTAATTTTAATTATTGAATGTTGTTAATAATAATTAACAGCTTTGATTTACTCTCGTTCCAATAATTAACTTTTTTTATCTCACTCCTGATTAACTCAATTTTGGAGTTTGTGGGGCCAATTAATTTAAGTAGGAAATATTCTTGGCTCCTATTTAAGTAGGAGATTCTTATAATTAGATTATCGTTTTTTCTGTGAATTAATTCAATTTAAATAGTTGCATTTTGTTGTGGAAATAAATATTTAAAACGATCATCGTAGGAGGAGGAATAATAATGAATTGTCACCGTCGGTAATAGAGATTCAAGTAGGAAGCAAAGAAGAAGAAGATGATGACGGTGGTAGTGACGAGAATGACCAAGTTGACGAGAAGGGTCGGATGTCTGGCCAGACGGGCAGAAATGAAGCAGCAAAGGGGTTTGTTTGTCCGTCTGTCCACCCCTTTCCTTCTCTTCGCCACGCACACCGAGCGGAATGTAAAATACATGCATGTGTGTGCACTCATCACTATCCCCCCTCCTCTGTCCCATTCGGACCGTCGGCACGTAACAATGCACTGTTTGCCTACTACACCCACGCGTATATATCTTATAATATTGATTACTCCCAACGAATTTGCAAGCCAGAGACAGCAGCAGCAAAAGTCGTTGAGAATCTGTTTTTTTTTTTTTGAGTAGGTATACAACTCTGAGTGAGTTTAAGAATAACTCCCGATTCTATCGTCGCAATGCAGGCTTTCTCGCTTTTTGCATTCGGCAAATCGTCTATGATTACGATATCGTGCTCGAATGCGCCGAGGTCATGAATTTTTGTTTGATGTTTAAGTGTTGAATCTATGCTCTATTATATATTGCCGATATCGGTAAATCTTTGCTATTAGTGTACAAATACGATTAAAATTATGTGTATTGCTGATGACACATGTTCATTCTCATGCTCGCGTGATGTGTTCAATAGGAGTTAGACTTGTAACCCGCTAAACCTATTTGATTCCTATATGGGTAATGCTATTTACGTGTTGTAATTGGCGTGTTAGTTTCTCTCGGCAATTAGCTACAAAATACTACAAAGAAAAAGTACCTCATCCTCTAAAGCAGGCTTTACACGCAATTTATATTGTATAGTATTATATAGTAACATCTAAACTATATAGATATTTCTGGAAACATCAATTTAAATGTACACAATAGAAGTTAACTAATAATGACTAATTATATTTATGTGACCGGGATATTTGAAAGAGAATTTACTTGAAAATCGATTTACATTTCTTATCATTCTTATTATATATCATTCTTATTAAAAGAATTAAAGGATATTAAAGAAATTATTAAAAGAAGATATGCTGTCTATAATGGAAGAAATTTTAGGAATATAAACATAAAATTGTGGGATATTTGAATACGCCAGAAAGTAGAAATAAGATAATTGTCATTATAATTGCAATTTCGTTAGAAACTATAAAGTAAGTTAATCTTGTATTTGCACCCCATTCATTCTCCTCAATGCCGCATGCCATGCTGATTTTCGCGACAGTTTGTTATCGAAGCTTTTGAGATTATACAAATGAGATTGAGGAATCAGAGGAAGGCACTAGCTTATTTCGCTAAAATGAGAAACGATTTTCAATTTTGGCTTGAAAAGCATCTCCCCCTAAAACACATACAAAACTTAAATAAAACTTTTTCACTTTTTCACTGAGAGAAAAATGTGGATGTTCAAAAATAAATATATTTCAAAAATTAGAGTAGCTAGTGCATAAGTTCAAAGAAACAAAACTCATTTGCTATTATGTCGACAGTTAATTTTTAGTTATAATAACCGATAATTAGCTGTCATTTCAAACATATTGTTTGTAAAAATTAATTATTGGTTTAGTTTCTTTTCTGTGTAATAACCGACAAATAAAATCGTTAAATCAACTGGTGAAATAGATAAACTTTTAGAAATTTGAATCAATGCTGGACTTTTTACATTGGAATTTCTTTTTAACTATATAATTGAATTGTTTTCTTAACTAAATTTTGATAAATTAAAAAATTCTTACTTTCACTGAAAAAATTCTCACTTTCGCATTCAGTTAAAAATTTTTTACATTTCTTAAAAGAATTCTCACTTTTACTAAAAAAAAATTGTTGATTTCACTCAAAAAGTGTTCACATTCATTAAGCAGAAGTTTCACATTCCTTAAAAAAATTCTCAGTTTCACTAAAAAAATTGTTGACTTCACTCAAAGAAGTTCAGTTTCATTGAAAAAATTTCACATTTCCTAACAAATTCACTCAACAAATTTTAACATTCATTAAAAAAAATTTCCAGTTTTACTAAAAGAAATTTGTATTTCCTCAAAAGAATTAAATTTTAGTAAAAATTTACATTTTCACTAAAAAATTCTTATTTTTACTTTTACTCAATAAATTGTCACTTTCACATTCACTCAAAAAATTTTCACATTCATTAAAGAAATTTCCACTTTTACTAAAAAAAATTCGACTTTACTGAAAATAATTAAATTTTAGTAAAAATTTAGACTTTCTCTAAACAAATTGTTATTTTTACTTTCATTAAAAAAAAAAAAATGGTTACTTTCACATTCATTCAGCAAAAGTTCCCATTTCTTAAAAAAAAACTTCCAGTATCACTCAAAAAATTGTTGACTTCAGTAAAAAAGGTTCAGTTTCAGTGAAGAAATTTCACTTTTCCAAAAAATTCTCACTTTCTCTAAAAAATTGTCCAATCACTCAAGAAATGTTCACATTCATTAAAAAATTTTCACTTTTATTAGAAAAAATTCGACTTTACTGAAAATAATTAAATTTTAGTAAAAATTTACACTTTCTCTAAACAAATTGTTATTTTTACTTTCATTTAAAAAAAAATGGTCACTTTCACATTCATTCAGCAAAAGTTCCCATTTCTTAAAAAAAACTTCCAGTTTCACTCAAAAAATTGTTCATTTCACTCAAAAAATTTTTATGTTGAAACAAAAAATTTTACTTTACCCAAAAAATTTCTACTATCGCTCAAAAAATTCTCAAAAAAATACTATCGATTTAGAGAGCACGGAATGTAAAATAGTTTTTACAAAAATAATAAATCAGTTTTTATTCCTTTTTCAATATAATAGGAAATTGATTAATTCGGCTGAAAGTAACTCTCTCTTCTGATGAGATGAGTTTGCAAATAATATGGGTTTTATAGATTGGGATTACAGTATTAACATTTTGGAGAATTAATTGATAAAATTACTAATGTCTATATTAATTACCATATTATCTCTAAATATTTATTAATGAAATGTTATCCATTAATTAAAATTAGCAAATATTTTCTCTGTGCTTATTATTATAATTATATTACATTTCTATTTACTTTATTTATTTTATTAACATTTTTTCTTTATTTGTTTCAGGTCAGTGATGTACAATATTTTCAAATCTGAAGTTTCGTTAAAAATGGCTTGTTGATGTAAGTGAAAACATTTTAAAAACGATTCATATTTTCCATTTTTTTCCTCGCTGAGATCGTTTGTCACTGTCATGTGCTGTTTATTCGCGATTCGTCTCATGAAAAATGTGATGAATTTAGGACAATCGTAAACTTGATAACTTTTGGTATTTGAAAATCTATATTGAAATACTTTCGATATTAATTTTTTTCCTAACCAGAAAATTGTATTTTTAATCTTAAATAAGAATTGAAGTGATAGGAGAATTTTTTTCTCGTGCTATAGAGAGTACTTACATTTTCGAAGTTGGAGAAAAAAGAAGTTTATATTCTTTTTTTTAGAAAACTTTCTGTTCCGTATTGCAATAAGAATTTATACTTTATTCATTGTGTAAGAACTTTTGTCCTCTGGCGCAGAATTAGTCGAGAGTAAAATCATTATAGGAAAAAATTAAGATCTATAAAGTATTTTAGTATCATTTCTGAAAGAAGAATATAATTTTATTTAAATATTTCAAAATTAATTGAATTTTAAAAGAGTTGCGTTTACAATTTTTATAAATAGATGAACTTCAAGAGGTATCAATTAAAATTTCTTAAAAATTTTAATTTCGAATGAATTTAATTAGAAACTTTAAAGAACTTAGATCTATCAAAAATGACAATAAATCAAATTATTCAAAAATTAGTTAAATTTTTAATATGTATTTAATTAATTTTTAAAAATAATGGATTTGTAGAAGAATTTCAGTTAAAAAAAAACTCTAAAAAAAATAAAATTTTGACGAAGTTACAAATAATTGCAGAAATTCAATTATTTTCAAAAGTTATAAAATTCTTCGCAAAAATTCAATTATGTTCAAAAATTTTAAGAAATTCTCGTTAAAATTTCAATTATCTTTCAAAATAATAAAATTCTTCACTAATATTCAATTATTTTTATTTTTTAACAATTTTAATCAAATACTTTGACACATTTCAATTATTTTCAGGAATTTTAATAAAATTCTTCTCCAAAATTCAATTACTTTTCAAAAATTGTTTTAAAAATTCTTGTCAAGATTTCAATTATCTTTATAAATATCAAAATTTTCCGTGGAAATTAAATTATTTTATTTTATGAATAAAATTTATGGCAAAATTTTAATTATATTTCCAAAAATTTTTCCCAATTCAGTGATTTTTAATATCTACTGTTTTAATAAAATTTTCCAAAAGAATTCAATTATTAAAAAAAAATTTAATAAAACTCTACACGAACATTCAATTATTTTCAAAAATTTTAATAAAATTCTTGGCAAAATTTTAATTATTTTCAAATTATTTTCCTCACTTAAATGATTTTCAATATCTACTTTATTAATAAACTTTTACTACTTTTTAATTCAATTATTTAAACACAATTTTTAAATTCCACGCAAACATTTCATTATTTTCATACATAATAAAAATTTCAAATTCAATTGTTTACAAAATCTTTAATACATTTTTTCGCAATAATTCCATTATTTTCATAAATAATAACTTTTTACCAGGGATTCAATTATTTTTATAAATAATAAAATTCTTTTAGGAATTCAAATATTTTCATAAATAATAAAACTCATTGCAGAATTTCAATTATTTTTAATGCAATTTTAATTGAATTCCTCGAAAAATGTAATTATTCTTAAAATTTTTATTAAAATTCGTCCAAAGAATTTAATGATTTAAAAAATTTGTTGATAACAATTTTTATGCGAATTTAATTTCAAAAAAAATGAAATTAATAAATTATTTATTTTTGTATTTAAATAATTGAATTCTCGTAGAATTTACTAATAAAAATGGGTTTAAAAATGAATTTCAGTTAAAATTTTAGATTATAATTAAATATTAAAAGCATTATAAGGGAGCGTTCACAAATGATGTCACGCAATTTTTGGAGATTTTCGACCCCCCCCCCTCCCCCTGTCACGCAATTTTTACAATTTCACATGAGAAAAATACATTGTGTCACGTTTAGTAAGACCCCCCCCTACCTCCAAAAGCGTGATATCATTTGTGAACGCTCCCTAACGTGGATTTTTAGAAATCATTAAATTTTGAAAAAGTTTCAAATTAAAATCATTGAAATTCTTAATTTTTCATATTTTTGACAAAAAATCTGTAGAATTAATTCTTTTCAAAAGTTTAATAGGATTTTTATTGAAATTATTTCAAGTTTTTATTTTTCAATATATATTTAATTGCAGAATTTCCGAATAATTGAAATTTTGTAAATTTGAATTATAAACGAATGAATTTGACAATTCTCAAAGAATTTTTTTAAAAATGATTAAAAATAATGGATTTATTGAAGAATTTTTGTTAAAAACACTAGAAAAAAATTTAATTTTAGGGAAGTTACAAATTATTGCAGAAATTCAATTATTTTCAAGAGTAATAAAATTCTTCTTAAGGATTTAATTATTTTTACTAATAATAAAATTCAATTCAATTATAATAATTGAATTCCTTGAAAAAAATAATTATGTTCATGCAAGTTTTAATAGAATTCGACAAAAAGAATTCAATTATTTAAAAATTTGTCACTAAAATTCTTTGTGAGAATTGAATTTTGAGAAACATTCAATTATTCAATAAATTATTTACTTTTGCATTTAAATTGATTAAATTCTTGTAGAATTTTTTTAATAAAAATTGATTTTCATTTCATAAAAATGAATTTCAGTTAAAATTTTAGATTGTAATTGAATATTAAAAGCAATATAGCGTAAATTTTTAGAAATAATTGAATTTTGAAATTAATTTTTTAAAAAAAAGTTTAATTGAATTTTCTTTTAAATTATTTGAAGTTTTTATTTTCTAATTTATTGAAGAATTTAGGAATAAATGAAATTTCGTGAAATTGAATATTGTAAACAAATGGATTTGAAAATTGCCAAAGAACTTTTTCGAAAATTATTAAAAATAATAGATATAAAGTAAAATTGTAGTTTTTAATTTTTGAAAATAATAATTAAATTGAAACAATGAAAATAATTTTGAAGAAGTATAATATTCTTATAGTATAAAATAATGATTTTATTACTTGGTCATCTTTAATTATTATAAAATATAAAGAAATCGATGACTCCGAGTCGAATCACTCCGAACTCGGAGTTATCGATATCTTCATGTTTTATAGTTATAAAAAAATTTAATAAATTAAAATTTCATTCATTGTAAAAAATAACACCAAAATTGATTATTTTAATATTTTTTGGTGTTAATTTAATCTGAAACACTTTTTAATACCTCACGATTTATTGTGTTAGGGCCTAAATACTATTATTCATATTAATACTTCTCACTCCAAGATATTTATCATAGAAATTTAGTTAGCTTAAAAAGCGTTCCGGAATTTGGTACCTTTACCTTATGTAGTTTCAATAAAAAGCACATAATTACAATAAAAGTAAATTCAAAAATCAAAGTTCAAAAGTAGAACTTTTAGAAAAATTAGCCTCTTCTAAAAAAATTATAAATGAAACATAAAATTTTGAAGTAGGCTCTAAAAGCTATACAAGTGGACATTTAAAAATCTAATTAGTATGAATGTACAAACTACAGATGGGTTAAAAATAGTAAAAAAAAAAAGTTAGTCTGTTGCCGAGGTAATTACCTCTAATCGTAAGCGAGTTCCCATTTCTATGCACAATTTCTGATTACATTCGTGGCGCTATTCATATTGCATGGACCGTTTGCATGGACCAGCCACCAGTTGCAGAACATAGGTATTCTGCTAATTAAAATGTACCTGAAGCCGTTGGAGAATTAGATACGTATACGCAAGTGCGTGTTACACTCATTTATTGTTGAAATTCAACCACTTTGCATTACTATTATGCATTTAATAACGCATAGTTATTAATATGGGCTCCGACCGACCGAGAGAGAGAGAGAGAGAGAGAGAGAGAGAGAGAGTTGTGAATAGTTGTGCAAGATGGCCGTATTCGAGACTTATTAGATAAATGCCTTAATAACAATTGGCTATAAACTAGTTTCAGCAGCTCAGACTACCGAACGCCCGGTATTACCGCGATATTATTCGTCGTCGGCGAGTGGAAGGAGGGAAGCATGGGTGAGGTCGGAGGTCGCTTCATTCCCCCATATCGCTTCGAGGGGGTTTCGGATGAACGCTCGTGATATTGCTCGCGTTATTGAGCGTGTTAATTGTTTTTCCTTTCGTGCGAAATTTCTTTTTTTTTTCCTCTTTTTTTTCAAACTTGGTGGAAAAATGCTTGCCTACATACAGCTTTTTAATTTACTACACACACGTTATTAGATATCATCGATGTTCGAACGACCTTCTCTCCCAATAATATCGACTTGAATTGCTTATCCAATCATTTTCAATGTACATATGCGGTATATCCCATAAGTAAATAGCTTTTATTGTTTCTCTTCCTTTTCTCAAAATTAAACACTTCATTATTATAATGTTTTTGGGAAATTATTTCTCAAAATTAAACATTTCATTATTATGTTTTTGGGGAATTATTTCTTAAAATTAAACACTTAATTATTATAATGATAAACAAGTATGGGAGGGGTTCAAAATTTGACAAAAGAATGCACATTTATATTTTGTCCCCGAGCATATTAAAGACTCATTCCGAAATTACATCTCTCCAGGTACATAAAAATGGAATAATATAATGTTTTGGTGAAAAAAGTGGTGAATTAACTTTATGAACATTATATTTCCACCCTCAGAATTTAGCACGTTGACGCTGTCTTGTTTCATTTCTCTCATCCCCATTCTCGTCTCATTTGCTCTCTGCGGTCGAGTCACGATCAACACCAACAGCAATGGATACACAACAAGAGTGGAGTTAAACGGTCCTCTCACCACTCTCACCACTCTCACCTCTCTCTCTTTCTCTCCATTTCGCAGCACTTTTCGTCTCCACTTATTTCGTGTTAATTCACCCCTCAAGACCGCTTATATTGAGACTCCTACTTTCCAGGCTGGTTAGCTTTTTTTCTCACGTGCC